TTTCTTCACAGCTCTAACTATTGCAACCATTTTAAGGATAAAGGCAAAGAGATCAAAAGTACATGCCTCTGAAAGCCCTCAGCAGGCTAAAGCTGAGTACTCTAAACAAAAGTTTTGGGCACTGCAATTATCAGATGTGGAAAAGATGAGGAGACAACAAGCTAAGAAACAGAACCTGACACGTTACTTCACAGAATTGGTTGCATACCTGGTCTTCGTTTTCTTGCTAATGGCAGTGTGCTATGGAAATAGAAATGATCATCGGTACTTGATGACGAAATCAATCAGAGATGGACTACCAAGCTTCAGCAGGGTGAGTAGACGTTATTTGATTTTCATTACTATATTGCTGAAATTTCCGCGTTTGATTGATCTTACGGCTTTTATTCCTATGAGATTGATATTCTATCAACATTTGAACTCTCAAGATCCTTTTGTTCATTCTCCCCTCTTGCTGCTACTCATTTCCTTGTTAATTAGTTACAAGAATTTGGTGTTAGATCAAGGCTTCAATTTCTACATGATAACTTTGAGCACTCTTATTACCTGTTTACTGAATAATGAATCGATATTTTGGGGAGAAGTTCTATGGTAATCACTTCTGGGAGTTACAGGGTTAAAGGAGGAGATTCAGAAAGTGGCTGCTAACTCATACAAGCATCGTTGGAATAAATAAACAAAAATTAATTTTTGAGGGAATGGGGTGTAATGTGAAATAGAAATAATTTTGGGAATTCGAAATAATAGTTTAAAAACGGGCTTAAACATAGTTACTCGTCTGCGTGGATCGAGCTTCTCATCTATTCATACAGCTAAACGTATAAACCAAACGAAATATATCTAATCCGACGATCTTCTATTAATTCAGGTGAAAAACAACACTATGTACTGGAACTGGTTACAGAAAGTTTACATCCCAGGAGTGTTTTCCGGCAGATGGTACAACGGTCAAGAGGAGAAGAAAACAATGTACATTGGTAATAAACACTCTCTTCTTGTCGGCATGGCTCGAGTAAGGCAACTCAGAGTGAGATCGAGTAAGCTTTCCTTGTTTGTTTGTTTAATTATTTATTCATTAATTGTCTTGGATTTTAGTGACAAGGCTATTTACACATGCACACTTAATTTAACACTTTATAGTCACACACCTACAAACGGCTCTGATAGTAAAATAATAGTGTCAAATCTCTCGGCCTCTGACCCTTCTAACAGTTGGTGACTAGTGGAAAGCTGCGTTTTTTAATTCAACGTAAAAGTTAGAATAGATAAACGGCATTCCTCTCCCCCTTAGGTAAATTCTAAGGGTTCTACAAGTATCTTTTATTTGTCATAACAGAGATGTCTTTTTTAAAATTACGATTGAAATAATGCAAACCGCAGAGTACAATGAACACCAAAACAAGCTTCTTTGGTAACAATCCTTTGTTTTTCAAAATGCAGCACAATGTAAAGTCCCGAACTATATCGAAGAATGTTTCGAGGGATACTCGATAGAGAACGAAGACAAGGCCACGTACAATAAACCAGGCTGGAGGCCTGTTGAGAATGTTACGAGGAATGACGAGTTGCTACGTCTTTGCCCGAGGCCATGGCGATATCAACATGTTGATGACACCGACACTATACTTAGGTGGGGACAGTTCTCCTATTATCATGGAGGAGGATTTGTAGCAGACCTCGGATATCAGAATCATACAGGATTCCGCATAGTAACAGATTTACAAAAAAATAGTTGGCTTGACAGAAAAACTCGAGTGGTCATCGCAGAGTTTTCTACGTTTAATCCATCAGTAAATGTTTTAGGTGTTGCCACATACTTTTACGAGGTTCAAACATCTGGGCTGAAAACAGCTTCTATGCAAATTCACAGTCTGTCAATTGATTCTACTGACACTTCCTCTAATCAGTTTTATTCGATTTGCACGTTTCTCTTCATTGTATCTATGCTTTTGTATTTTGGGAGAGAAAGCTTGAGGCTTTATAGTCATCGTTCTCGATATTTTAAGTCCATATGGAATTGGATCGAGATATTCCAAATTTTTTTCTCTCTGTTTGCCGTGGTGACTTATATGATACGACAGAGTAAAGTTATTTCAACGATGGGCAAAGTGCATAAAAACATTTACGCAAATCCAAGTTTTCAAGAAGCTATCACTTGCCAAGAAGTAGAAAACGCCTTCCTTGGTATCCTGATTTTCATCGCCACTACCAAGCTCTTGCGAATCATTCGCTTCAACAATCATGTTGCTCTAATCTCCAAAACATTGAAGATATCTGCACGATCTTTGATCTGGTTTAGTTTTGTTTTTCTAATTTTCTTTGTTGCATTTTTGCACTTCGGTGTCTTGATGTTTGGTTGTGTATCTGAGCGCTACTCTTCGGTGCTAAAAGGAGCTTATTTCCAACTTGAGCTAACTCTTGGTCGAGTGAAAGCTAGACCAATCAATGAACTAGCAGAGGCCAACACCAAATACGCCAAAGTATTCGCGTTTTTAATTCTTTTTACTCTTTCTATCCTCTGGATGAACTTTTTTATTGGCATAATCAAAGATGCCCTTTCGGATGCCAAGAACAATGTGAACGAAAATGAGCTGTATAAACTTATTGATGAGGACCGTTGCCCGACCTCAGAAAAAAGAAAAGAATTTTTCGATGCAATCAGTAAGACACTGAGTCAGTCGAGAGCCTCTCAAAAATCAGTAGAAGTGAAAGAAAAACAATCAGAAAACGTTGGCCTTTACTCCAAGAACCATTCCAATCTAAACTTTGATTTAATAAGTCAGGCTATCGTAGCCTCGAGGGAGAAAAGGTCTAAAGGGACAATGAATAAACAACAATACAGAACGAGGAAACAATCACTTTTTGACAAGATAAGCAACATGTTAAAATCTCTGAAAGGTGAAAGCAATGACGAATGTAGAAAACGTACACAAAAAAAGAAAGTACGATTCCAAGAGGATATCGTTGAGTCTTCTCTCTGCAAATTACGTAGGAGAAAGCATGACCTGTTACAACGGCTCGAGAGAATTGTGTCAGGGTTCTCAGAAGAAGACGAAGATTTTCATTATTTATTAAAAACAGCAGAGGTTCGTCACTTCAAGGGTTAGAGACAATAATAAGAATATGTGAAAGAAAGTAAATAACTATATAAAAAATCATGCAGATAGATAGACAGACAAACAGAGAGAAGATAGATAGATAGATAGATAGATAGATAGGCAGATGGATAGATAGATAGATAAACAGAGAGACAGATAGATAGATAGATAGATAGATAGATAGGCAGACAGACAGATAGATAGACAGACAGATATATAGATAGATAGATAGATAGATAGATAGATAGATAGATAGATAGACTGACAGATAGATAGACAGACAGATAGATAGATAGTTTATTTATCCAAATAACGCCTAGGAGCATTTAGCATAGTTGTTTACAATGCGCACATGCAATTACAAAATACTGAAAATCATGAAAATTACAGAAGTATGAAAGACTTTAAATAAACATGTGCAGAGCAGAAACAGAATAAGAATAAACATCATGTGGAAAGCAGAAACAGAAGCGAGCTCTCATTAAATTTATAGTTTTGACTGATGATATTTGTTTCTTAGAGTTTCATGATACTTGCTGTAAATATTGTTGATCACTTTTATTCCTTGTAACTGGTGATTTCTCTTTATCTTATTCGACATTTTATTACTTTATCTATTGTAGTATAATGATGGAATTGAATAAGTGCGCTCATTGAATTGGACTTACTTCGCTATTTCTTTAGTTTTTTTTTTTGGGTGAAACTAGCAGAACCATGCTACTCTGAAATTCGAACGGAAATAAAGTTATATGCAGGATTGGCAACCTTTTGCCGGTCTCTGGCGTATTGACACACTCCTCCCTTATGCTTGTCCAAGTTTTCATGAGATATACACTAAGGGGATGCTTAGAATAACGAAAGAGATGGGGTTGCCGCATTTTAAGAGGTTATTTTAATCTAAAGGCGATTCAAAATGATTTTAACACGACTAGCCACAAGGATACAATTATGCAGTTTTAAAAAGGAAGTGGCATTTTCAATTCATAATTTTTTGGGGGCGTCGTGACACTCTGTTCAATAGAAGCATCGGAGCAAGAAGCATCGGAGCAAGAGGCATGTAGCCATACTCTGACATAAGCAATCAATGCGGAACAATTTTTTTTCAATATATTTATTAAATATATCGAAACATGAACATTAACTATATCGAAACATGAACACAAAATTAGATTGCATTACGAACATTTGCAATGCATATTAAGGAACTTTTATTCTATTTATATGTCATCAGGTTTGGAATTTTATTAAAATCTAGTGTGTTGACCTACTCCTCTGCGCCCCTCCCTCCCTTTCCTTCATGTTTATCCTAAAGCCGATATTGGCATACGATGTAAACGTTAACAATTACAGCGCACCGCTTCATTTCTTTGATGGATGGACGGATGGTATTTTTTTTTTCATTTAACAGACTGGATACTTGCAATAGCTTTCGATAGGGAGAATACCAATTCACAAAAGACATCTACCTTTACCCATGATTCCAATACTATTTTCACGAGCCGCGTATTTTACCACCCTTTTGCTATTTTGGTTACTACAAAATGTAAACCAAGCTATTTTCATGTATCTTGAGTTTCTTGATTTAATGATACCAACCATTGCCCCTCAACTGATGGAAATAGCCTCTAGCCCCACTGGTCCGTTCATAAAGAGAAGAAAATAATGGCGACTTATGTCAGTAAGAAGCGATCGAGTATCGTTTTCTCCATTACACGGGCTATCTTTAAAACGTCAGAAAGGCTGTTGTGCTCGGGTTGTTATCGAGTGGGCTTCAATGCGGTAAAATGTTTACAGTACTGTCAATACATTGTGCGCTGAGTAAGTACAAACTCTATTTTATCCAGTGGTTATGCGCTACAACTGTAAGGGAAGTAGTGAACGGTTCGATAAAGATATCACGGTATTGGAACATCCTGTAACCCCAAGGGAAATCCAACCGGAAAAAAGATATTATCGGCGGCTTTTAATAGGCTCTCCCGACGAAACAAATCAAGCCTTGTTAATATCTGTTCTTGACTTTTATTATACTTGAAAAGAATATAGGTAATAAAGATAAATATATAAGTAAAAACAAAGGGAGAGATAAGATTAGACTTGTTTCGGAATGAAGTTTTTTGTTTTGTCAAGACGCAAAATCATTTGGAAACAGTTAACCACATTGAAAAAAGAACCTGGTTATGAAATTGAAATGCGCGATATACTTATTGTTGTTGTGTCATAAATAACGTTCGGTGCAACACCTTTCAGAAATAATATGTAGAGTCTTTGAACATAATAGCCTAATTACCTACCTTCTAAAGTTGCTGTGATAAGATGTCAACCGACGAGCACACACTTTAAGACCTCCTTCGCACGATAATGAATGGAGTTTAGTTTAAAACTTATTTAGATGTTTTACTTACGGAATGAACAATCTTTTACGAAAAGGGAAGGGTGTTCACTCCGAGCTCATTTTATAAATACGCTCTGTAGAAAACAATGATTGTGATAAACAGAAGGCAGGTTTGGTCAAGGAATTTTCATAATTAATGCCGTCAGCATTAAGTTCCGGCTTCCTCGAATTTTTATGGGCTTAAATTGTTAAATAATTTTCTCTCAACGGACGCCAAAGATCTTTAAAAATGTTTGACTTCCACCCCAGTTTTGACAGAAATATGACAGTCATCAATTTCAATAGCTTTATTTTTCATCGAATTCGCTAAATTTAGCTTCAACATGTTCATTTTGGATAAAGTGCAGATCAATTCAGTTTAACATTTCCAATTCGTTTACTTCAACTTTTGGACAAGGAATTTTCATACTTAATGGCGTCAGCGGTAGTCACCTTGTCACGGCTTTATCTTTTATTTTTCTTTAAATTGAGTTCCTGCGTACTCAGCTTTTTATAGAATTGAGTTTTGAATGTTTTCCTATAAATGGACGCCAAAGCTCTTTAGAATTAAATCACTTCCATCCCAGTTAGGAAGAAAAAAAAAAAAACAAAACAAAACAAAAAAACCTATTACAGTTTTCATGTTTTGAATGGATTCTGTGACAGAAATATGGCAGTCATCGATTTTAATAGTTTTGTTTGTCGATGAACTCGCTACTTTTAGTTTAAAAATCATAACTTTACATAAAGTACATCTCAATTCAGTTAAACATTTCTCGTCGTTTAGTTCATCGAAAAACTTTTGGAAAAGCAATTTTCATAATTAATGCCGTCAGCAACAAGGACTTGAAAATGTTTTCCTTTAAACGCACGCCAAGCTCTTTAGAAATAAATCACTTCCGTCCCAGTTAGAATAAAAAAAAAAAAAAAACCAACCTATTACTGCATTCATGTTTTCCATCGATCCCATGACAGAAATATGGCATCAGTGTTCGATTTCAGTAGCTTTATTTTTCAATGAATTCGCTACGTTTCGTTTCTAAATTATAATCTTAGATGAAGTACTCATCAATTCACATTTCCTCGTCGTTCAATTGATCGATTAAATTTTAGGGGGAAACCGGCTAAATTGCAATTAAACATTTACCTTACTAACTCACAATTTTCGTTTCCATTCTAGTCAGGTTGTTTTTGTTGAAGATGTTGCCTTGATAAAAACAAGCAATAATCCCAGCTGGCTCAAAATACACCTATTAATCATGTCCCTGCTACGCCATTTAAGTCACATAAGGTCAAGGGAACGTACAACGTTTGACAAAGTAGGACAGTGAAGAACAGCGCAAAAATATGGACGGAAAACCCAGCAACGAAGTGGTTGCACAGGACGATCCATAATTTAATTTTTTTCGTTCTTTTAAGAAACAGCTTTCTAAGAACGTCATACTCTTTTTCTGTTGATCGTACCGAACACTTTAACATAAACGAGTAATCTACGAATTTCAGCGATAAATTAAGGATATTTCAATGAAATAAAGCTAAAAGGCACTAGCATTTGCATTACGCCACGCATGCGACGTCGTTACTCAAAAGGAATAAGCGCCCATACTGGTCCCGTTGAGGTACATTTTCGAACTGGGTCTAAGCCGGATATTGTTTTGCCATCTTTCGCTAAAATTTCTTCAGATAAGGAATATCTGTGAGAATGATTTCAAAATAAGTTTTGAACTGATGGGGTACTTGCAGTAGCTTTCCGTAGGGAAAACACTAATTCGTAAAAGACATCTACCTTTAACCATGATTCCTAAACTATTTTTATTAACCGCGTCTTTTATCGACCTTTTACTCTCTGCGTCACTGGAAAAAGTAAACCAAGCTATCTTAATATCTTGAATTTCTCGTTTCGATGAAGCCAATGATTGCTCCACACCTGGTGGAAATAGCCTCTAGCCTCATTGGTCCGTTTATAAATACAAGAAAAAAATTGTGAGCTATGTCAGTAAGAAGCGATCAAGTATCGTTTTGTCCATTACACACTATCTCCTTTAAAACGTTAGAAAATTTGTTGCACCTGGGTTGTTATCAAGTGGGCTTCAATTCGGTAAAATGTTTACAGTACTGTCAATACATTGTGCGCTGAGTAAGTACAAACTCTATTTTATCCATTGGTTAGGCTCTAAAACTGTAAGGGAAGTAGTGAACGGTTAGATAAAGATATCTCGGTATCGGAAACCCAAGCGAAATCCAACTGGCAAGAAGATATGATCGGTGCCTTTTACTAGGCTCTCTCTACCAAACAAATCAAACCTTGATAATATCTGTTCTTGACTTTTATTATTCTTGAAAAGAATATAGGTAATAAAGATAAATATATAAGTAAAAACAAAAGAAGAGATAAGATTAGACTTGTTTCGGAATGTAGTTTTTAGTTTTATTAAGAAGCCAAATCATTTGGAAACAGTTAACCACAATGACAAAATTACGCGGTTGTAAAAAATTGAAATGCGCTATATATTTCATGGTTGTTGTGTCATAAATAACGCTCGGTGCAACACCTTTCAGAAATGATATGTAGGGTCTTACAACATAATAACCTAGTTACCTACCTTCTGAAGTTGATGTGACAAGATGTCAGTCGGCAAGCACACATTGTAATATCTCCTTTGCACAAAAACGAATTAAGTTCCTCGTTCAGAACTTATTCAGACGTCTT